CTCAATACCAATTTCAACAACATGAACTGGAAAGTAATTCATCAAGGACCAATGCTTTCTTAAATCCAAATTTTGGCAAATAGATTAATGCCTACTTTTAAACTTATTTAATAATTATTTACAGATAAGGAATCCATAATGAAATTATTTTCAAAAAATGTCAACCCAACTAACCACGGTATTTCACATAAAAATCAAAGTGGAAATCACACCAAATTATCATATAAAAACAATCTCGGCAAAAAAGGAATGAGGCATGACAAATAAAGGATTTACTATGTTCCAACAATTTTCGAATTTAATACATAAGGGCGTCTACGAATTTCAGCCAATGCAATTTGCACATATAAACCAAGTACGTACTCGTCACCTCGCGTACATGGTTTTAATTACACAATTTTCACATAAGACTCAATGCCTAAGGGGTAATTACCCCACTCAAGGTTAGGCAAGATACCTACCTTTTTGAAGTTAGGCCGATATTTTAAAATAGACTTCTTGCTTGAGTTGACCTCCGGACAGCTCAAATCTATCCAAATTGATTGTATAACTTCATTAAATTTCAACGGAAACAATTCTGGATAATAAAACGTCAACTTAAAATTTTGCATTAAAAAGTCAACCAAAGTCAACGCGGGGCCCTCCTCTAGGAACCCGATATAATTTTTACGAAAACCAAACACCCATTCCGATACTAATTCAACCATACCAATTTTATCAAATTCCGATAACGAATCGACCTCCAAATCTAAAATTTTTGTTTTTGAAAGATTTTACAAAATTTTTAATTTCTTCCATTAAAACTCGAATTAAACGATGAATATAACCATGGATTTAGGAAATATAATCACTTTTGGATGTAGAACACTTACCTCAGTCGAAGCCATGAAGAAATCCTCAAAATCGCCCAAGAATCGTGCTCCAAAAATCCAAAACGAAATGAAGAAAATGACCACTTTTGGTCCTTAAGTTTCTGCCTAATAAAAACACTAATCTGGTCGCTAAAAGCCCCCATTTCCGTCGCTAAAAGTGCCAAATCTGGTCGCTAAAGGTGCATACCAGAACTATTTACCCCAGCACTTTATTTTTCACTAATAAGGCTCGAACTCCATCATACGAACTCGGAATTCAACGATTCTTATTCCTTTGAGTCACAAATAATAATACGAACCTAGTCATTCATCAAAACTAAATTCGGAGCTCATTTGCTCAATGCGATACCAATTTCGCTCGTTAAATAATTATCTCATGTTTCGCGCTAAAAACACAATCGTGACTTGATGAAATTAGACCAAACATTCCAGATCATTCCTATAATTCATTATCAAACTTTCAGAAGTTTCGAAATCGAATTTCGATCTCTAGAACTAAAAATGGACCTTTGAATCATTACATGCTTATGTCCAAAATACTAAACTCTTCCAAAACTCTTTCCGGACAACCTGTAGTATATCAACCATAACCTTTTGTACCTAACTCCAACTGTCAAATGGTTTAAATTTTAGTAAACTAGATACAAAGGTCTACAACTTTTATTTTTGGTTCATTGCCAAATTCCTTATAGATTACTAGATATAAACTTTCAAAGTCAGTCCTGTACAGCAGAAATTTCTGCGATGCACACTGCTAGGCAAAACAACTGCAGTACCAGGCTTCGGTTAATCGATCATAGCTTTCTATACAAATATCCAAATGATGAATGGTTTACATTTCTAGAAACTAGATTCAAAGGGCTACAACTTTTATTTTTAAATCATCTCTAAATGCCTTACATATTACGAGATATAAGCTTCCAAAGTCAGCTCTGTGCAGCAGAAGTTTCTGCGATGCACACTGATGTAGCCAAAAAAAACTAGTAGTTAAAAATAGCCTAGAAATGGCCTGAAACCACTCTGAAACTCACTCGAGCCCCTCGGGACCCCATCTGAACATACCAACAAGTTCCAAAATATATTACGGACGTAGTCGAGGCCTCAAATCACATCAAACAACACTAAAAATACGAATCATACCCCAATTCAATCTAATAAAACTAACAAATTCCAACTTCTACATTTGATGCTGAAACCTATCAAATTGAGTCCGATTGACCTCAAATTTTGCACACAAGTCATAAATGACATAATAGGCCTAAGAAAATTTTTAGAACTGGATTTTGACCCGATATTAAAAAGTCAACTCCTCGGTCAAACTTTCTAAAAATCTTCCATTTTTTAACTTTCGCCAAAATACGTCGAATTATCCTACGGACATCCAAATCCAAATCCGGACATACGCCGAAGTCCGAAATCACCATACGAAGCTATTGGAATCATCAAAATTCCATTCTGGAGTCGTTTGCTCAAAAGTCAAATATCTGGTCAAACTTTAGAAATTCAAGCTTTATTTGTTCTTTCAATTAAATTTCGAATCTTCCGAAAACCAAACTCGACCTCACACGCGGCTCATAATACATATTACGAAGTTGCTTGGGACCTTAAGTCACTGACCGGAACGTAAATTCTCAAAACGACCAGTCGGATCGTTACACCTACAATTCTAATTTCAACTTTAGCCGGAGTTCGAAGAAAGAAAAAACAATAAAGAAGTGAGTTTATGCGCTCTTTTAAGTTGAAATTCTTGTCCAAATATTACTACTGCATGAAAAAGTAGCTAAAGTTTAATTAATTTTAAAACTAATATAAATAAGGCTAATTCTAAATTTCTATCTTAATTTATTTTAATTATACGTCATAAATCTATACTTATTTAATTACACTCCGTAAATCTATACAACAAGAATTATTGATAAAATTTTATATTTAAATTGTTTATAATTAATAATGAGATGAACTAAGCAATATAAAGTGAATATTCATTGAGACTAAGTATTTATATTCATACTATATTAAAAGCACGAAAGCCCTTAGCGAAATATCGTTCGCCTTTTTTACCCTTTAAAATAGAGTTCATATTAGACTAAATCGACATTTAAAATTGCTTTCTAATGTTTAGAAATTTTAGATCAACTAAATTTTGTGCTTTAAATTCTTCCTTCTTTGAAGTAGGTAAGAAATTCTAATATTTAGGACTTTAAAATCAATTAAAAAATAAATTATTAAAAAACAAAAAGAGGAAAGGAAAATATTTATCACATACTATTAAATTATTTATCACTATTAAATTATTAGTTTGTATAATTTATCACATACTATAATATTTGAAAATTACACCTCAATAACATAAGAGAGAGAGGTGTTGGGCTGTTGGCAATAGCTAAAAAACACGTATAACTTTGCAAATACAAATATCCAAACTTAAATATTAGATTGATTTTTTAGGCTTGAAAAATATAATTCTAAATAAAATTAAAATATAGTCAAATATTTAAAACTTGTAATGAGTTAATATCATTAATTTCAATCAACAAAAATTAAATCATTTCTTTTAATAAGAATAAATATTAAAATTTTGAATTAATAAAATGAAAAAATAAATCCCATTCAATTTCTTTCCAATTCATCATATAAGTAAACCCTTTTTTTCAGTTGACAAAACTTTTAGATACAAAAATTAGATTTTTTTTTTATAGGAATAGAATTTGTGGTGGAATGAATAAAAATTAATGCAAAATCGATTATAATATAGTAATAAGCATGAACTGCAAAATCCTATAATACTCTTGAATAAATTTATAATATAATTTCATACATAGAAAGCTAAAAATAAAAAGAGTAGATTAATTAAAAGGTAGCGGTTGAATTTACTTTTTGTGGTAGTAATTTATTTTTTTAATATGTTGAAAATTATTCTTATGGTATTTCTAATATCTTAAAGAAATAGAACAAATTACATTTTGCTCGTGAGCAAAAAGAAGGCTTCTTCTGTCAATTGAATGATATGATTAAGAACTTATATTGGGATAGAGTTTTTTATTTTATTTTTGAGTTAGCTAAATAGAATCAACAATTATCATTTTTAGAAATTTATAATTTTTTACATTACCTTTTCTTTTAAGGAGAATAGTCTGAAAGACACCTTTACTTGTTCGATTTTGACATCCTGGTCCCTCTACTTCACAAGGTCTCAATCAGACCCTTGAACTTAATCAAAAACTAAGTTTTAAACACCTCTAACATGCTGACATAGGGGACATGTCATATCCACGTCATATAATTTTATACCACATCATTATTAATTTTTTTATTAAAATTCCAAATATATCCCCTTTTTCTCCAAAGCAGTGATTTAAATTTAAAAATATTATTTTGAATAAGATTTTAACAAATGAAAATGTGGGTCCCTTGCTATTAACTTATTTCAATTTTTTTATGAAATCTCACATCTCAATGCAAAAAATTTCAACCGAAAACCCCAATTCATCTTCTTCTAAATTTCTGTCACCATCTCCGACAAGTTTGCCGGCAGAAGTCTCCTTTTTCTTTTTTGCACTTTTCATTTCTCTCACTCTCTCTTTATCTTACATATTTTTAGAATTCGTTCTTATCCAATTTCTCAAGTCCTAGTCTTAATCAATCTGAAAAAATTCTCATCTTTTGGACTCTTTGTCAGAGAAGGATTCTCAACTCTCAAGTGGTAATGATTTTTGGGTTAGAAGTTAAATCATTACTATCTTGAGCTTTCCTGCTAATTTCACCAGGACCGCTGAACATCACAGGTATTCAACAACTTCAGTCCAACGACCCAAATAAGAATATAATCACAATTTTAGCTCAATGATTTAAAACTCCAGATCTCGAACTCATACACTCCAACACAATTCAAATTTCTAGATTTAAGGTTTAATTTCAAATGAATTTTGATGTGTTTAACTTTGCTTAACCCAATCCCCCCAAAAGTAAAAATTCATCATCTCATTTGACAGTGATTTATGGAGGGATGAGATTCTGGTGGTGGTGTAAGAGAAGGACGAGGTAGTGGTGGCAGAGGTAATGGAGAAGGGCAGCGCCAATGGCGGGTGGAAGAAGGAGAGAGGAGGTGACAGGGTTGAAAGGGTCCTTGTTTTATCATTTTCTTTAATTTTTTATTTTATTTTTGGATTTTTAATTTTTTTCTTAATCAGAATCGCCCCTCCACGCTTTCAATGTACGTGCATCCTACGCTCTTTGTCCACCTCAACTTCTCGGTCAACGGCCAGAGTTATTTAAAAGATCTGCTTTGATAAGTTAAATATGTGAAAATATGTGAAATATAGGGATCGGGATGTTAAAACGATGCAAGTACACGTATGTATTAGGCTATTCAGCCTTTATTTTATAACTCAAATCATAATAATATAAAATTTATGTAATCTTTAAAATATTATATTTATTGAGATAGGGTAGCGGGTACTCTAACACTACTAACATTAAGCGAAGGAAAGGAGAATTTTAAGAAAAAGAATTTCTTTTTAAAGATCTTTTTCCCCTTAATCAAGCCCTAAATCCAGGGATTCCAAATCCCTTTAGAATTCCAAAGTGAAAAGGATATATAAGTGAAGTCCCAAAGAACTGGACGAAGTATAAGAAACTGTGGAATTTATTAGGGATTTTTGTAACGCTCTTTCTCCTCTGCGTTTGCATGGGATCGATTGCTTGAGAAGATGAAGGTTCGTCTGTAGTCTCTACATATTCTGTTTCTTAGTGTTCCAATGTGCTTTAGCCCACTCTTTTGGTTGAAATGAGTAGTACCGACGTATTGTACCCACTTTAAACAATTCATACACAATTCGCTTAATGCTGGATATATATGTGTGTGTGTGTGTGTAGTGTTAGTGTGTGTCTAGGGTTTGCTGTTAGTGTGTGCGATTATCTTTGCGTCTATTTGTCAAACAAGGCTCTGGCCTCTGACATGTTTATTCTATTTCTTGTGGTATTCTATCCTTATAAAAGTCCGTATTTTTATACTTTTCTTGTTTGTAATTGTCAAATGGAACTCTAAACATTGCTTGACTGGCTTATTTTGTTGAATTGTGTGTCTTATTCCATGGGTGAAAGTAGTTTTTTTATTTTTATTTTTGGGTGGTGGTGCGTCTTGCTTGTTCTAATACTATGTTGAATTAGGCGACCGACTCATTTAAAAGCTGCTCTTATTTATTCTAGTATATTTTGTCTAATGTAGTTATGGAACTAACATTATACTTGACTAGTTTTACCCTTTATTTATCTAAAATGGAGAAGAATTGCAATAAAGTTTATCCTTTTTTGTTTGATATGCAATATGGGCAGAAGCGATCGTCGGAGTTAGAGAGGCTTCGCCAACACACTATAAGTTGAAAATTGAGTCTTTCTCCCTTCTCTCAGAGAGCGGCATTGAAAATTTTGAATCAAATGAATTTGAGGCTTGTGGTTATAAATGGTAAGACTCCTTTGCCAACCCTCACTAATGCATTATTGAAAAAGTTTAACTTGATTTGAAATAGTCAAACAAATTGTTTAGTTTGAAACAGGAAAGCCTCGACATATGCAACAAGAAAAAGGAAAGCTAATTAAAAAAGTGTAGCCAGTTGATCTGCATTAAAGTCTGTCCTAAATGATCTGAATTATATTGTTGAATGGATTTGATACAGGAAAATGATCATTTATCCCGATGGGAACGGACATGAAAATGGAAGTGAACATATTTCAGTTTCCTTGGCCATTTCAGGGACAAGTTCCCTAGCTGCTGGTTGGGAGGTCACTGCTATATTTACCTTCTTTCTGTACAATCAACTCTGTGACAATTATCTTACAGTGCGAGGTACAATATTAGTGTGTATATAATCTTGTGTCCTTTCTTAGCATATACATCTTTCTCATTGAACGAAGTTACGAAATAAATTAGATTGATACCACGTGAAATCTTCGGTTTTCCCCCTTCCTCTCCCTATCCCACCCTTTCCCCGAAAAATGAATTAATACTTTCTACTCGAGTTCCATCATGGACTATATACATTCCAAGACAACAAAAAAAGAGGTGTTCTAGTGAAACAGAAGCAATGATGTTGAGCCAAGAGCACCTTCATTCCTTTGTGCTTTCATAGCATGTACATTTCTCTCTAGGTTTCTCTTCTAAGATTTTCATAGCATGTACATTTCACTCTAGGTTTCTCTTCTAAGATTTTTATGTTATATGGTTGTTATCTTGAAATAACTTTGATGATAGGCTGAGTGACAGAAAACACTGAGTAGTAATCTTTTTCAATAATTGGCTCAACTGTTATGCTACAATGCCTTGATTTAGGAAAAATGCGGCGCTTTCAATCTGTCAAGTCAGAATGGGGACTTCCCAAATTTCTTGCTCATAAAGCATTCAAAGAGGCCTCTAACGGATACCTTATCGATGACAAGTGTATCTTTGGAGCAGAGGTATTTGTTGTCCAAAGGCAAGCAATTGGTGAATGCTTGTCTGTCGAAAAATCTAATGACAAATTTAAGCGCGAGTGGAAGATTTGTAATTTCTCAAACCTAGGGATAGATTGGTTATCTGAAGAATTTACTGTGGGAGATCACAAATGGTACTTCCTTCTTCTCCTTGGTGTATTATTGTTTGTCGTGTATATTGTTTCTTTCAGTATCACTGATTTTGAACTTATTCTTTGCTGAATCCTTATGTTTCTTGTGCAGGAAAATCTGGTTATATCCAAAAGGCAATGAAAAAAACAGAGGATGTAATATCTCGATATTTTTAGTTTCTGTTGACTCCAAAGACTTTGATCACCATCGAAAAGTGAAGGCAAATTACAGCTTTTGCATCAAAGATCAGATAGGTGGTGGATGTGATAAGCGATTATCTAGTAAGACAATTCCACCAACTTTCATTCTAATGGTGATAGTATTTATTTGTTACCTAGTTAACTTTTTATGTTTAAGGTCAATCTTGAGCTCCTCTTTTGCATGGAATTTCTTTTTGTGAAATCATTAGTTTCTATTTGGAGGGGAGCTTTGGCGTAACTAGTAAAGTTGTTGTCATGTGACCAAAAGGTTACGGGGGCCGTGGAAACAACCTCTTGCAGAAATGCAGGACAATGTTGCATATAATAGACCTTTGTGGTCCGGCCCTTCCTCGAACCTCGCGCACCGAGGGAGCTTATTGTACCGGCCTGCTCTTTTATTTGTATCTATTTGTTCTCACTAACAAATTTTCTAATGGAATTATTTCTAAATCAATACCACTATAATTCTACAACTAGTTTTGTTTTTCAAATATTATAGGAGCAGTTTTTTAAATAGATATCGATGAGCTAAATTAATGTTTAGTATTGAAATGAAATAAATGCATTCCCTTTGAAAATTTCCTCACTTTATATGTATATCAGTATATGGATACCAACAAAATATAGCCATTCTTGATTTTCTATGTACTAGTTTTAGGATACGCGTATTGCGCGTGCACCTAAATAAATATTTGACGTGCAATATATTGTCTGAGTGTTTCAAAAGTTTTTCTAGAATTTGATTTGATGTCAAATATTATAATGATGGTAGGTATTAAAATATTTATTTCTATTATGGTATTTATTGAATGTGCATTTTACATTTTTGGTCGTAAAAGTTAAATATAGATGGAGTATTTGATTTAAAGGGTGCATTTATTATTTTTGTTCATAAATTCTAAATACAAACATTCATATTAGGATATACTAACTTGTTTAACCCCGAGGTGTATTCTTTAGATTTAATCTTGGTTTTAAAGTGGACTCCACAATCTTTATTCTAAACCAAACTAAAGTAATATAAAACAAATGATAAAGTACTATAGACAAACATACCAAACCTAATCGAATTAAAAAGTAAATTAATTGTGAGATAAATAAGGAAAGATTTATTTAAGTAATATCTTACTCTATTTTGCATTCCTAAATATTAGGAGTTCTTACATAGTTCAAATAAGAAAAGAACTTATCAATCAAATTTTAGTTAATTTCAAAATCCTAAATATTAGAAAAATAAATAATTACGATTTTGTCCATTGTGAAATTTATGTTTAAAGTAAAAAAGACGAATGACATTTCGTTAAGGGGTTTTGTGCTTTTAAAATAGTATAGATATTTGATGCTTGTGGTTTTAATGAGCTTTTATGTTATATATACACGATATTCTACAATTTTCCCCCCTCCCCCTCTTGTGCCCTTTTTTTTTTGTGCTTTAGCTTATGTATGCCTGACCACAGTCCCGCCTTCTTTGGCCTGTGGTAGTTTGTTGTAGATCCTAAATAATGCGCCATGTTTAAATCTTTAGTTGTACTAGAATTTTTTCTTTGTTACACCACTAATTATAATCTTATCTTTGCACATTAGCTTAAGCTCATTTAGAGCTGGAAATTTGTCTTCAAAATCATTTATTGCTATTTCTGTAACTACTCTCACACCGAACTTAAGATAAAAGCCACTATGATTTAGTAGCTAATATATCTTTCCACTATATTGAATCTTGTTTTATAAATATATGGCGACATACACTGAATTACATGCCCTTGGTTTAGGAGTCAAATAGATAGGTGCACTTTGTGTTAAAAAGTTTATTAAATATTATATAAATATTGAATTTAGAACTCAATTATATGTACTTGAAGTCTAGTTCTAAAATTAACAACTCATAAAATTAAAATCTTGGTTTCACCTCTGCGTACTACTGTACAAATATAAAATATAGGAGTTGCTTGACTTCCACAAACATGTTTTTTTCAACTTCGGCTTCAATTTTTTATTTTAGTTTTTGCCTTCAAGTCAATGTTATCCAAATGTTTGGCCAGTGGCGGACGCACGTGGTGGTGGCAAGCGAGTTCAGTTGAACTCGCTTTATCAAAAAATAATATTGTGTATATATATAAATTAACATTAAAGCTGCGTAAATTTTGTATAAATATTTTATTTGAACCCACTTGACAAGTACTATTTTACGACTAAAGTTATGTACTTCTAAGATTGAACTCGCTTACACAAAATTTTGGATCTGCCACTGTATTTGGCTACTATATTTTTTAATTAACTTACATTATTCGGTAAATGTCCATCTTTGTTCCCATCTATCAAGTCGACAAACTGTAAGCTACAGTTTTCAGTCTCAATTGAACGTGGATATTTGTCCCAGTCACTTAGTTGCATTTACAACTTCAACATAGATTTGACTCGTTATTAGGAGTGTCAGTGATCGTCTAAAAACTGATGCAACCGGCCAATTCGAACCTTACCAACCCGATTGTTAGGTTATTTTTAATATAATTTTAAAAAGAAATTCAAAAACTATCAAATTGAACTGACTGAATTTGTAAGCGTATACGGTCGAAATCGGGCATGTCGGATTTCGAAGGTACGGGGAGCTGCCACTAGAGCGAGCTCGTAATAAACCGGGTTAGCTCAATGGCAGAGTATGAAGATCGAAGTGCTCGTCGAAGATCGAGACCGAGCATGACTGACTTCGAGTAGGGCATAATAACGGAATGGCGAGATATTAGCAACCGACCGAAGATCTCGGCGAAAATTCCGGAACAGATCGAATCAAGCGGTTATTGACGCCAATCATGGGATTTGTTTCCGTTATTAGAGTTGTACCTTATTTAGGATTCCTCTACTATATAAAGAGGGACCCCATTCATTTGTGGGGGGCATTGATTCACTGTTAAAGATATATAAAAACGTTGTTCTTTATTTTACTTACTCTCTATTACTGTTCATCATTGTTGATCCTCTGTTCTTTATTGTTCTTCCTACTCAACCTCGAGACCATCTCGAATCGAGGTCGAAAGCGCTGCTAGAACACTGGTTTGATCTATTTTCTTATTCAGATTATCTATTCAATTCCTTGTTTGTCAGTTGGTATTGGATTAAATCATGTATCCTTAAAATCACTAAATAAGTTTAATTGTTACTCGAATTTTAGGGCAAACAGTTTGGCGCTCACCGTGAGGCTAAGGATAATAGTGATTATTCAGTACTGGTTTTGGTAAAACACACTATTTTACGCTTTGTTGAGTGTCTTTGCTTTCAGGTTAAAACATGTCAAACTCACAAAACGCATCCACACACGGTAACAATAGCCTCGGATTCTACGATAAAAATGAAAATGTGATTGCTTCAGGAATCGAGGTGCCACAGGCTAATCTCGGGGCAGCACCGGTTGCCAACCCAATCGATGTCAGTTCGCACGTTGCTCTAAACGCCAACCTAGGCGCAGATCTCAATGAGAGTGTACGCAGAGAAGGTCGATCTAGTGGCCAAGGAACACAAGGCAGAGGAGATGAAGGAGTCAGTCTCTAATTGATATTCGAGATGCTTCAGGCTCAGCAAGCCGCTATTTCTCAGTTACAAAATCAACATAGGGCTCCGAATAGGGTCGAGCCGTAAAATACTTGCCGTACCGAGCCAGTACCGGAAAGGTCGAATGGTAACGAATCGGAGACTAATCCTGCGGTAATGAAAATGCTTGAGGAGCTCACCAAAAAAATTGAATCAGGGGAGAAGAGAATCGAAGCCAACGATAAAAAAGTGGAGACATACAACTCTCGAGTTGATCAGATACCAGGGGCACCGCCAATCTTGAGAGGGATGGATTCGAAGAAGTTTGTACAAAAGTCGTTTCCTCTAAGCGCGGCTCCGAAGCCTATTCTAAAGAAGTTTCGTATGCCAGACATACCCAAATACAATGGGACTACCGATCCCAACGAGCATGTTACTTCATATACATGCTCCATCAAGGGTAACGATTTAGGGGATGATGAAATCGAATCCGTGCTATTAAAAAAATTCGGAGAGACCCTTTCGAAGGGAACAATGATTTGGTATCACAACCTGCCACCAAATTCCATCGATTCGTTTGCCATGCTAGCAGATTCTTTCGTAAAGGTACATATCGGATCCATAAAGGTCGCAACGAGGAAATCGGACCTTTTCAAGGTTAGACAAAGGGATAATGAAATGCTAAGGGAGTTCGTGTCCCGATTTCAAATGGAACGCATGGAGTTGCCACTGGTCACAGATGATTGGGCCGTTCAAGTTTTCACCCAAAGGATTGAGCGAACGGAGTTCGATAGCATCAAGATAGTTGAAATAAAATTTGATCGAGTATCCAGCTATAACTTGGGCAATTGTACACAATCGATATCAATCGAAGATCAGGGTCGAGGACGACCAACTAGGAGCCCCTTCTGGTTCAGTATATCCAAATAGGTCGACAGTTAAAAACCAGAGGGACGTCGATAGGGAGCCAAGGTCGAACAGGGACCGATATCAACCATATATCGCAGATCGAAGGAACAATGGTTCAGGACGCAATTCCGCCCAGAACGATCGAAGAAGTGATCGAGGACAAAATTCTCGGGGACTTATGAGCAAAAGTGGTTTCGACAAGTATGCCGATCCCACAGAGGCACCTCGGTTATCAGAAAATAATTTTAGCATCAATGCATCGGCCATTGTTTCGGCAATCGGAAGGATCAGAGATACTAGGTGGCCCAAACCCATACAAACCGATCCTTCCCAAAGAAACTCGAATTTGATGTGCAAGTATCATGGCACGCATGGTCACAAGACCGAGGATTGCAGGCAATTAAGGGAGGAGGTAGCCCATTTATTCAATGAGGACCACCTTCGAGAGTTTCTCAGCGATCGAGCTAATAATTATTTCAGAGAAAGGGACGCCAATAGAAAAAATAAACAGGAGGAATCCCAACATATCATTCATATGATCGTCGGTGGGGTCGACATCCCACAGGGACCCATACTCAAACGCACAAATCGAGAAATGTGCTTTCGGGGTTGGTTCGGGCAAGTTCCTCGGCTTCATGGTATCAAATCGGGGGATCGAGATCAACCCCGATAAAATTAAGGCCATCGAAGATATTACCGTTGTGGATAGTATAAAAGTAGTACAAAGGCTAACTGGACGGATAACTGCCTTAGGGCGATTCATTTCGAGGTCATCGGATCGAAGCCACAGATTTTTCTCTTTACTCAAAAAGAAGAGCTATTTCGCCTGGACCCCGGAATGCCAATAGGCATTGGAAGAGTTGAAGCTATACTTATCGAGCCCACCACTGCTTCACACTCCAAAGGCAGATGAGAAACTTTAGTACTTGGCAGTATCAGAAATCGCGGTAAGTGGTGTCCTAGTTCGGGAAGAGCAAGGTACACAATTTTCCGTTTATTATGTAAGTCGAACCTTAGGAGAAGTAGAAACTAGACATCCACA